ACCTCCACCTCCACCACCGCAACACACAACCAGCATCCCATCCCCAACCACACCCCCCACGCCACTATCTTCCCAGAAGAGAAAACGAGAGGAGGAGAAAGAGTCTTCGGCTTCCAAGTCCAAGAAAAAAAAAATGATCTCTACTACCTCAAAGGAAACCAAGAAGGACACAAAGCTTTACTGCATCTGTAAAACGCCTTATGATGATTCTAAGTGAGTAGTGAAGGCTGTGTACTTGCATTTTGCATTGTTGGTCCAGCTTTAGTATTTAGCTCTTAGTCTGAGGTAGTTATTAGAAATGGTAGTAGAAAAAAATCAGGTGCTGTTGCAATGAGCATGCAGGTACTGAAGAATAAGCAGTCTGTGGATTACACCCACAATTACCAATCTCTTAACTCTTGTGATTTATATTTTTCCTTGTTTGCATGTTTCCATTGTATGACCTTTCTGTCTCACATGCACATATTCTTTTATTTCACTCTGTTCTTTCTTTTGCCATTCTGCCTCTGCCTTGGAAGCGAATAAGTATGCCCTTGTGTTCCTTTTAACGAGTAGGTGGTTGGTGTTCTTAAGAGAGAGGTTTGGTACTGTCACCTTGGAAAGCAGATTTTTCTGTAATTCACTGGCTAACAAAGCTATTGGACTGCAGTTCATTTTGGACAGTGTTTCATGCTGAAATACCATTTTTATTTTTTAACACTATACCCTTGACTCCTATTGAGTATAAAACATAAATCGAACTAAAAATGTAAGTCAAACTAAAAAATGCCATGTTACCCGGTATGGGGATGTAAGCATTTGACAAAATGAAAACTGCAGTTCCCCACAAAATTCTGGTTGTGGAAAGAAAAAGTCATGCCCTAATGTAAAGGGAGAGCTTCATAACTTTTAATAGTTTGTGAAGAAGTTAGTAAATGATGGACTTTATAGCTCATTCAATTGGAACTGGATGTTAAGCATTTCACCTCTAGTTTATTGGCTGTAATCCTGCTCAAGTCAGCAGTGAGCCGAGCTGCTTTTGTCTGAGCTGCATGACGGCAAGTGTAAACTTAGTTTGGTCTTGGTGGATGTGTGTCCACTTAACAAAAATGACTTAATTCTAAAAGGACTAATTGGCGTCTTTAGTAGTTTGTGGCAGTGCCAAGAATTAAAAGTCATGGAAACTGAACTATACTTTAACCCAATTAGTGCCTTTTCCAGGTCAAAGATGAATTTACTTGTTGTATACCTTTCATATTGACATAGCTCCCATCATTATGGCATCATATCAGCGTGGGGAAGTTTTAGACTGTAGCCTTATGCTGCAGTTGGTTCAGAGAGAGAGAACTTTAGCTTCACATCTGTCGCTGACGTACCTCCCTCAATGGGAAAAGTGCTGTATTAGACTTTATTGCCCTGTAAACTTAGCAGGATACCCTGTTCTCATTTAGCAATGGCGAAGTGAGCACAAGCCATGTCCATTTCCTTACTTGGGTAAGCACTGGAAACCTCTTCCAGGAAAATAATGCGAACTGACCGGATTGCATGGACTTGGTCCATTACCCATTCAAGGCAGCTGGAATCTCTCCGTTGACTTCAGTGGGTATTGAATTGAGCCCATAAAAAAAAATGTGATGACAAAGTGCGTCCTCACAGTCTAAAAGGAGGAGACCTTTACTTGAGTAACAGAAGGAAGATTTTACACACATGCAGTGTGAACAGTCTAGAAACTGCTGTAGCAATATGATTGTCTTGGTGCTTTACTTATAAATTTTGAATCATTATATTTCTAGATAGGATGACTATGGTGCTGAGCTGAAATGTGTTTTAACTTATTCACTATTAGGCTGGCAAAGAGCTTATTTGAAAAAAATGACTTTGCTTAGTGTCTTAATAAATGAAATGGGCTTCGGATACCTCCTTTTGTGCTGGTATCATCTGCATTTCAGATGAGAGAAATGCAGCTCAAATTCATTCTTGAAACTTGAACTGGTCCTGAGAGAGAACCTGCAAGATGAGAGAAGGTACTTCATCAATTTGTCGGAATGCACTGAACTCAGGGAGCCCATTCTTAGCTCGTGTGTCTTTAGGATTTTGCTGCAGGTCTTTCGCACGTAGTTCTTCAGTAATGACACTGAATTCTGTTAAGGATTTGCTCATATCTTCAGGATGTGGAGCGGGTCAGTCAGGGTATCCTTCTAAAGTTTATATTTGTAATTTCCCACTTGCTGGTTAAAAACATTGCATGAAGATGGCCCAGTAGTCTAGAGGCAAGGCAAAACATCCATATTTTAGATCTGATTTTGCTACCAGACCTGCAGGAGCTGTCACACTGGGGGGCATGGTGCTCTTGTTCCATGCAGCAGAAGAAGCGCAGTGCCAGACTGAGCTGGCATGAAGGAAGTGGCAGGAAGGGAAATGCAACTGGTCCTTTGCAGAATGGTTGTTCATTAGGTTTTTGGATGTGACTGACCGCATAAAGGAAGAAGGGAAGAAATAAGTTGTCAAGGAAATTTTGGAGTGACCCATTGGGTAGGGAAGCATTTTTCTAACTCAGCAGTGTGGTCTAGATGAGGCTTGATGCGATGGGAAGTCTTGGTGCATGTTCCAAGATGTTGTTTGGAGATGTGTGTTTCATGGATCATATAATTAATGCAGGCCATCCTAGTGTATAGCCAGTATGTTTGCCTCATAACTGTCCAGTGCCTGATGTAGATTAGGAGAAAGTGGCATCAAAAGTTAGTACATAGAAGGTAATATGTGGCAAAAGGTTTATTAATTCTTTAGAAGCCTGAGACTCTGCATCAGTTTGCTTTTGGCTAGGCAGAAAGAGGGACTGAGGAGCCTAACATTTTTTTTTCCCCCCATGGTTGGTTGTGCTAGTCCTAGGTACATTTTGGGATATCCATACACAAAGTGCTGTCAAACATCCTTGCATAATATCCTACGAGTTTCTTACACCATTCTGTGCAAGGTCCATTCACATGACTCTGTATGGGATTTTTGTTTTTGTACCTTCCCCAGCTCCCCTTCACTTCGTGTCATACCATATCTGGTTCTGTCACGTAGTTTTGTCTGAGAACAGGCATTTATTCTCCAAAGAATAGTCTGCGTCCCAATTCATTATAATTCTGAGAAGCTGAATCGCTGTTTTTGGGCTCCCACACAGAAATTAAAGAATGACGACATCCATTGTCCTCACACAGTTTTCCTTCACGTCATGTTATACCAATATGTATTCTACACATGGCTGGTATGCATGTTCCTTGTAGTATACTTGTAACTTCTAGTTAATGTTTGCGCTTTGCTTTGTTTTTTTAAATTAACTAAGACCTACATTTTCAAATCTTAAGAAACTGCCTTGAATATGAAGTGGCTTCTAAGCTGCTGTTTTGAAAATGTAAATCTTTTTCTTTGGCCTTGTCTTTTTGTGCCTTTTACAGTTTTTTCACATATATGCTCATACAAAAGAGATGTTTTCAGTCCAATTTTTTTCAAAGTCCAGTACATATCGATTGACCTGTGTTTTATTACACTGTCCTTTGAAATTGGCCCAGCTGACTTTATTGACAGTATAGCCGCAGCAACAGATGTGAGTCTTGCAAGGATAGATGGCAGGAGACAGAGAAACCAAGTCAGGAAACCGCAGAAGCAGGCAGTATGCAAGTGCATCAGAAACAGGAATGCAGGGAAAAGTGCCATGCCATTTGAAATGACAATTACATTGTCATTTTCATTGTGAATACTTTTAGGTTCTATATTGGCTGTGATCTTTGTACTAACTGGTTTCATGGAGAATGTGTTGGCATCACAGAAAAGGAGGCTAAGAAAATGGATGTGTACATCTGTAATGATTGTAAACGGGCACAAGAGGGCAGCAGTGAGGAATTGTACTGTATCTGCAGAACACCTTATGATGAGTCACAGTGAGTTCTGATAAGAACCTCTTATTTAATATTTAGGTAGCAAACTGCACTGACGTTGGTTACTTTTCCTTGCAAAGAGAAAAAAAAATATTCTGCATATGTTGTATCCCATAGTATTACAAATTCCTTTTCAATATTTCTTTTTTCCCCAAATATTGCTTTACAGTGAATATATTGGGTATGTAGGAAAAGTGAAGTTTTTAATGTGTGTTTAATTTTTAAAAGGGAGGTAGAAAGAATTGACACAAAATTTGAGTGCATAGTTGGGACTTTCAGTGCTTGAAATTATAGTATCTTGTGTGATTTTTAGGTTAGAAAAATTATTTTGAGCATGGGGTATATGGGTTGTACCTTTACTTTATGGCTTTGTGTTACCAGAATGCCCCTGTTATAGTCACCTACAAGATCTTGGCTTCCATCTGAAAAATGTTTGTCAGAGGTTTGAAATGGGAGCCCAAGAAAGTAGTTCTGTTTACCTGTATGAAATGTTTCTGGAATCGCTTGTTGTGTGAAACATCTGGCATCACACTGATACTTTGATCTTTCAATCTGATAAAGGACATTTGAGACCTTGACTTCGTGAAATTACTCCTCTAATTTTACACTACACATAATTGTGAAATAAAATTGTAAAGTAATTCAGGTGTTAATTTTATTTGTAAATGCTAAGTCTGCATGACTGAATTGGCATGTTTACAACAAAAATGGCATGTTAAGTACAGCTTCTTATCATGCAAAGCACCTGGTACAAAATACTATGAACCTGAGTGTTTTTTAAATGAAAAGGATGATATCACTAATATTTTTCTTTCGGATCTTGCAGATTTTACATTGGCTGTGACCGATGTCAGAACTGGTATCACGGGCGCTGTGTCGGTATTTTGCAAAGTGAGGCAGATCTCATTGATGAGTATGTCTGTCCTCAGTGTCAGTCTACAGAAGATGCCATGACCGTACTCAGTCCACTGACTGATAAAGATTACGAGGGATTAAAAAGAGTACTACGTTCTTTACAGGTGAGGAAAAGGCATACACTGAGAGAGGAGCATACTTGGCATGCTCTAGGTAGAGTAGAAGTTTATGTAAAAGGTCTTTGTTTAAGACTGATATTTGATCTCCTGTAGCTTCTGAATGTCTTAAGGATAAGTAATGAGCTGCTTTTTCTGTATGAAACAGCACCCTGAAATAGCATTAACACACACAGTAGCATTTAAGGTAAATGGAAGAAAGCCACTGCCTCCAAATTAGGGATGGAATTGGAACAGGGTTTGGTTTGGTTTTGAATGAAAGAGGATAACTGTACTGAGTGTGAAGGAAGCTGACAATCAGAATATGAAGAGCAGATCAGTAGCCTTTTGGGGTAGTTAGTGGAAGGTGTCAACAGTAATAGCAAAAGTAGTATTCTAATTATGTAATTTGACTTGCAGTCAAAAGTTGGATAGGCATTAATGAATTTGCAGGACTGAGATTTTAAGTGGTAAAAGACTTATCATTAGATTCTTCTTTAATACAAGATCACTTCTGAAGACTGATCCCTGTGATTGCATGTTGGCAAGAAAAACGAAACACCTCACACTGTGTTATAATGTTCTTGTTGGCTTAAATGCCATCCCAAAACCTACCTTTGCAGACATTAAAACATTAGCAGCAGAATAATGCAATAAGTAACGTGCAGCAAACTAATCTTGGTTTGCCATTGCATGGATTTTTTTGGTGACAAATTTTAGAATACAAATGAAAACATGCAGGTGGAAAAACAGTAATGATCCAGTTTTAAAAGTACGCAGCACCCTTAGCTTTTATGGAATTCAATGCCGGCTTCTTCACTAGTTTAAGCCAGTGCCCTGTACTGTTCAGTTATGTCATAAGGCAAACTACCTGTTACACCAAATTGTACATTTATAAAATAAAAATGACTCTTTGCTTGGGGACTAGACCAAGTTCAGCAAATTGTGCTACAGTCATTCCCAAAACTAGCATGAATGAAAACAAGGTAATAATTTGCTATGCATTTGTAATTGTCTTTTCTTTCTTGGTAGGCTCATAAGATGGCGTGGCCATTCCTAGAACCAGTGGATCCCAATGATGCACCAGATTATTATGGTGTTATCAAAGAACCTATGGGTAAGGTGCTTCTAAAATATAGCAAGATGCGCTAGGTGGTGACAAGCCAGTAATGTGAATTAAAAATATACCCATATAGATTGTCTTCATCCAAAGATTCTCTTGTGCTTTTGAATTGTAGCCTCATTATGGAGATTGGTAAACTGAGACAAATATATGTTGCTTACCTATTAGCACATAAAAAGTAATCTGGTGGAGCCAAAATACATCTAAATTCCCACTACTTAAGCCCATCCTTCCTACTACGTGCAACAAAGGCCAATTTTCTTTATTTTTGTAGTTACTTTCAAACAGGGTAAGCTGGACCACTATAGCCTTTTTGCTTTTTGTCTACACTTAGTACTTCCCAGAGAGAAATACGTACTCATGATGATTAAGAAAGAAGTTTATTTTAGTTAGGTGATAATATAGGTGTGATTTAGGTAACACAAGATAGAAAGGTTTAAAAACAGTCTTCATTTGATTTGATAATCAACTGCGGAAACTTTGATTAGTCTTAAAACAATGAAGAAAAGAAAGATTTTTTTCTGGAGACAAAGGTTGCGGTGGTCTCATGTTTTTGCAGTGATCCAATCAAATCTTTCTGGCTAAACAGGATTGGATAGACTTGGATACAAGGCATTGAAGGAGAACCCACTTGCTTCAAGCAGTGTTGTTGCTCACTGTTTCTTCCCTCCTTTTAAACTATAATGCCTCTTCATAAGTAGGGGGTCATTGTGTCACTGGAGCTGCTGTCTTCTGGGGGTATGCAGAGCCAGGACACTGTTCTTGCCACACCATTTGGAATGCTAATTGTGGTGTCCTGGCAAAAATAGTTTTTACCTGCATTTTCTTAAATTTCCTAGCCTTGGTATTTAGTAGCATTACTATAAAACTGCTGTTAGAGATGGCAGCAATCATTGATTAAAAATTGGTTCTTTTTTGAGTTTGTGAAGTGATTTGGATGTCCATTGGGATCAGGGATGATTATACTTGCACTGTTGTTATCCTGGTGCTTCGTTAATCTAAGAATAATTTTTAAAATAACTTGCTAAAGGGTTAGTTTAAATGAATTGTTAAATCAACAGAAAAGAGCTTGTTGCATATTTGAGACGATTTTTTTAATTTCTCTTATGGGTAAACAGTGCTAGGAAATGCCAAGTGATATCATTATCACCAATTATATAATAATGAGGTTACACTGAGCATTTTGAGTGGAAGGAAGGCCTCGTGTTATGGATGAGAACAGTTGTTATCAGTGTTAGCAAATGTTTTAAGAACATAGGCCTGGGAGGACTCTTTGGGCCATTCACAGTTTTGACATTGGTAGGATAAGACAAAAACGCTTCAGAGGAATTCTGCTAAGGCAGGTAATATCTTTTTTCAGCCAAAGTTGTACTGCAAATTTAGACCCATTCAATTTTAATTCACTTTTCTTCTCCCTGTTTTTAATTAGTATCTGCATAAAGCAAGCCTGCTAATACTTAGTTCATCTGTCCCTGCTATTTTATTTAGTCTGCCCATGTCAGTGGGAGCTCTTGGCATTTCAGATTCAGGTCCTTCAAGTCTGCTTTTTCTGTGATGTTAGCAGCTGATGCTCTCTGTCTGGTCCTACTGCTTGTTTTTGATTTGAATTCCCAATTCATTTAAACTGCAAATCCAGTTTTATGCACTGATAAACTAGAATATTAAAAGTGGGGGGAGGCAAAATACAGGACATAGAATCCACATGCTCTTGCACTGTGCATGTTTTCAGTTTTTTCCTAAAGACTAACCAGCTCCTCAAGAGGTTTAAAAAATTTGAATTGCTGTAACTAGATTGGGTCTGTTACACACGGCGTGTAGAGTCCCGTGAGATGGGAGCAAGCTTATAGTTTGAAGGAGACTCCTCAGCTCGCACCATGTTGTAAGGAGCATTATGAATGGTTCCAAGCCAGTTGTCCTTTCACTCCCAATATTTTGACACTGTGAACTTTGTCAGAGGGACAGAAGAGCTCTTATTTTAAATATCTGTTTCTTTTGAAGACCTTGCTACCATGGAAGAGAGAATACTGAAGCGTTACTACAAAAAAGTGACAGAGTTTGTGGCGGATATGACCAAAATTTTTGATAACTGTCGTTACTACAATCCAAGTGACTCCCCCTTCTACCAGTGTGCAGAGGTTCTTGAATCATTCTTTGTACAGAAGCTAAAAGGTTTCAAGGCAAGCAGGTAAGCAGAAGAGTTTCCAGTCCATTGTCACTGTTGTGCTATTGCTAAAATCTTCTCACTGCCATAAACGTATCCTTATGCACACATCTAACAATCTGGCATGCTCTGTATGCTTGTTAATATAGCTACATTTTGACAGGCAAGAATCTACTCGGTAAATTCCAGCTGTTGATTTTTGTCTAATTTAAGGACTAAATCTGCTTCCATTAAAGTTACTTCGTAATACTTGTAGACCTGAATTGCACACCATTAATTATGGACAGTGTCATAATTGCAAAGAAAATTAGCAGCAACATAGCTAACACTTTTTCAGTTATTACTTCCAAAAAGCAAATCAACAGGATCAGCTCCTTATCTGATTCTAGGTTTTAATGATGCATGTAAGTTAGTCGTGTTCTGCTCCATACCAGGTTCTTTCCACACATTAAAAAAGATGGTCTCTATTCCAGAGAGTATCCAGACTGAGAGAAATTCTAATGTGTGCAAAAATAAGCAGTTTTTATTACTTAGCTAACATCCCATCTTTTCATTTTAGTATTATTTCGGCTGAAATCTATTCGGCCCCATTTTGGGGAAGCTGTGGCAAATTGAAATAACTCAGAATTGCAAATGCTAGTTAAAAAACAAACAAACAAACCCTTAGCTTTAAAGTTACCTGTCTTCAGGAAAAGATTGCTTCTGGTTACTTTGTCCAGAACCAGGTTTCTAAATCATACTGTCTGCCCAGTGTGCGTGCTACTGGCTGTTTTTGAGAATTAAGAACCATATGGCCTTGAGCAGAGTACCATGTACATATATGTGAGCTGTACTGCGATAGTTATATTATATTTGGGCAGTTAGCAGGGCCGTTAAGGTTCAGGCTAGCATACTCCTTAACGTTTGTACAATAATGCACATATCCCCTGCATCCATTTCCATCACAGCAGTAAACCACCTGTAACTTAACTACAAGTATAGCTGTAATACAAAGCAGGTTTAATCAGAATGTGACTTGTGTACAGGCAATAGATTTTGTCACTTTTACCATTGAAACTGAATCATGGGAGGCTTTTATCCAAGCCAGTTAAACAGTTAATTACAACTAAAAATGGCACTTCTCCATACTTTTGGAAGTTTCCCAGTCTTTCAGATGGGACAGATGTAAGGTCCTGGGGGAGGCAGGGCTACTTGTAGCAATCAAGCATTGTTCCTTCTGATTTCATTTCATAACATCTGCATTTGTGGTGGTCACTTGCTCATGCTTGTGTTGTCTTGTTATAATGTGTTTATCCAGCATTCCCTGCGAATTGCATTGCTGCATCTTATTTGTTGCGCTTCTTTGTTTACACCATCCATATTCTTTCTTTTCTTGCAGATTGTGATATCTTTAGTCTGAACTTTTTAACTGGAATCAGAACTGGATGTTGGGTCACTTTCTTTTATTGTGTAGTACCATGACATTTAACTGCCCCCAAAAAACACCCCAAACCCCAGATCAGTTGTCCAAATATTAATTAGTACCTTAAAATGGAAGCAGTCATTTGTCAGCAGCTATGTTGGTAGACAAAAATGTATTAAGAAGAGTATATCGCTTCTTTTGAATACTGTATTGAGAATAATGTCATAACAGTCATCTTAAAAACCATGTATTTTCAATGAACTATTTGCATTCGCTAGTTAATAAAACTGTGAACTTTAGAGAAGAGACCTGCAGCACTCTGATCAGCAGAAATGTGGTTTTAATTTTACTGTTCAGTTTGGTTTTGGTTTTGGTTTTTTGGGTTTTTTACATATGAACACTAATTCAAAGACTTCCCCATAGGTTTACATCAGCTACATTTTATTATAAGTGATTGCGCCCTTATAAATTGTCTTTATGCCTTCCCTACGAAATTGTCTTTATGCCTTCTCGATGAGAGGCTGCTATTTTGTGAACTTAACTAGGAAAATATATTCCTGGCATTTTTCATAGTCCAGTTGAAGCATCTTCTTTTGTAAACAATGGACTCCTTTTGTACTCAAGGTCAGAGATGCTTGTTTTAAAAGCGCTCGCCTGCAAATGATGAATCGGAAACAAGATGGTTGCAGTCCCCCGATAGTAATTGACCTATGGCATCCTGCTAACAAGTGTGTTCTCCCAAACAAAGGGTGCTTAATTATTCACTCTTTTGTGTATTCTGCAGGTCTCATAACAACAAACTGCAGTCTACAGCTTCTTAGAGTTCAGCGTGTTAATGTAACACACAGAGCAAGAATCTGGTTGTCTGAAAATTTTTAATTAAGAAGCCAGATGTTTTTAGTCAGGTTACCCTGACGAGACTTGATGTAAACTGCCTTTTTATTGGTCACAACAGTCAAATTATATTCTTGGCTTATTTTGTCCAAAGGACAAAGGAATAAAAATCAGCAGCACCACTTTCTTGTCAAGATCAAATTGTTGTACTATTGTGGCAGAAGCAGGAAAACTGTCTTTTGTTGAAGGAGAGAGAAAGCAAGCAAGCAAGCAAGAAAAAGATACAGTAAATGGAGTCAAATTTAACTCCATGGAAATGCCACGTCTGTTCTTCAGTGAAGAAGCTGGTTTAAAGTCCACACAGAAAACTTTGACTGTATTTATTTATTGTTGCAAAAAAGACGCTTTTTTATTGCTGCCCTCATTTGTCAGCTAATTATTTTTTCTTATAAAATCCAGCCCCGGTTACATGTAATCCATTCTGTATCTTAACATGATTCCTGTAGGTAAAAGTACAAGACCTCTAGATGTCTTTTCTTTCTATGAAAGGAGCTGCTATGTACACATGTGCACACAGACAACTGGGAATCAACAATGAGTTTATCATTCATGGTAGATAAAAACAATTAAGCTTGCATAAAAGTTGGGCTAAGTGGTCATGGACTACAGACTGTTGCCTTGAATATAACAGTACAATTTGTCATTTACTCTGCACCAGACTGAAATGAGTAAAATCTATTTGAAGGTATCTTGTTTGTAAACATTTGTCAGATTCTAATTTTTTTCTTTTGTATTAAAATTCAAAATATGGATGTATATGAAACAAAATAAATGGAGATAATTGTTCTCCCCACAGATGTAGGTGTCTTTTGAATGTGCGCTAATATGTTTGTGATGTTTGGGGGGGGTCCTGTTCTAATATGTAAGTATCCCGAGTAGTAAGGGAGGGAAAGGTAAGATGAGTGGAAGGGAAATGTGACTTTATTTTTGCTACAACAGTAGCGTTTATTTCTTTGTATTCTTAAGCAACTGCTACCCCTTAAAAAATCTACAATGGTGCCAATAATTGCGTATCAGATACTAAAGGAAGTAACATAAGACATTTCATTGTCGACTCCTGAATTAAAGTAGTGAGCAAAGTATCATCAAGGGATGAAAAAGTACTAAGTATTTGTAATTATATCTATGAAGGGCATTGTAAGTGGTTTTGTCTCTTCCTATACAAGGAAAGCCAGTGTGAGGGATAAATGGAAGCCAACAGAGCGAGATGTGATTTGCACTTCTCTCTCGACTCTCTCTCTCTCTCTCTCACCCCCATTGCACGTTACTTATGTAACTGACCTTTTCTTATTAACCATTTCCAATAAATCATCCAAGATTTCTGCAGCTCTACAACCATTTTACTAGATTTTGCACTAATTTATGATTGCTTTGTCTGACAGTGACCTGCGATTTACCTAATTATGGAGAAGCTTCCCTTGGGTTTAACCTCACCCTGCTATGCAAGACCCTTTCCTGTTAATTTCTTAGAAGTAAGACACTGCTACTGACCACAGGTCTCTTACAATTACAGGCTCAGGTGTACAGGTTCTTCTGGGTTAATTTTCTCTAATAAACCCCAAATGTTTTTGTACATACAATGTTGTCATTTAACCGATATGTGAAAACTTAAGAAAATTAATTGTTCAGTGTGAAAACAAAACCCGTTCATGCTTCTTAAAATTACAAGTAGTTGCATTTAGATTATGTTGTCCTTTTGATTTTTTTTAAATGCTACATATTGTATGCATTGTTTAATGGGAGAAGGAGAATTCTCAAGTTTACGTTTTGAAAATTCTTTACATCTCATCACAGCTTCACAGTGTTTCTGTATTATTTATTCATATATAAATATGACATTTAAAACTTTTCTAACTGTAGGCAATACTGTGTTTTTAACAAATTGTGGCAAAATGAAGAGTACTTTTTTGTACCTAATACAACATTTCATCCTAGACAAATAAAGTAATGTGTTTGACATCAGATTTGGTGGACTTCCTGATGAAATGCTGGTTGATGATGTGTATCATATGTAGATCTTGACATTGCCAGATTGTAAATAACTCCCTGGGAGTTGGTTAGTTATTTTTTTTGACAAGGGAAATGTTAAACTCGTGTGTAAACTTCCATGTTGTTGAAATCTCCGTTCCATTTTTCTATTGCTGTGTAATACATGGAGACATTTTCTGGTTTTATCCTCTGTAAGGTTTTTATGGTCTTAAGTGATACTTCTGAAAAAAAATACATTGATATCATCTGCAGGAAGAATATAATTCCTGTAAATACACTGAAAAAAAAGTCCTTACTATTCAGTTTCTTGAAGGAGCTTGAATATGAGCTTGGGGTGTATTGTATCGCTCCAGTGACCACCTTCCTTTTAATGTCTCTTTGTATTATAATAATGTAAAATTCGGAGTTTCCGTTATGTTTTAACATGGGTTTTGGGGGACCTGAACTAACCTCGCTTCACGTAACGATCTTCATAATTTTGTCATCCGAGCTCCCCAGACTAACTTGAACGGGGTGCAGTTGTTCCTTGATTTAAATTTAATTCAACATCTTCTAATCCCCATGAATTGTTGTCTTATGATGTATTTGTAGCAGGTTTGGGTAAACCTCTGGAAAGACTGTAAAGTTTTATGTACTCTGCATTTCACTTGATTGGCTGCAAAATATTCATGTCTGTCCTGCTGATGGGGGGAAAAAAAATCACTGGAATTGACTTATAGAAAAGTTTCTTCTGAGGTAAGAGACTGTAAAGCTGCTTGTTTAGAAATGCCTTTGGGTGAATCAGTACTAAAGGGACACTGTCATTTATTTTTTAAACTTTTTGATCTTCATTGTTTGTAATGAACCAGCATAGAAGCTTGAAAATAAATGTCCCTACCAGATCTGTCCTCCTTGTTGGCTAAACTGTCCTCTCTCTAGTAGTGCGTGTGGCTACTCTCGTGTACTTCTGTCTGTGCACAAGCATCATTGCTAGTAGACTATCGATGTTACTGTTGACATGTCATTTTAAGCCTTGTTCAAATTGCAGCATTGGCCATTGGCCACTGGTGCTCACTTTAATTCATCTTGTTGCGGGGTGGTGGGGCTTTTCCCCTGAAGGGCACGTAGAATCGGAGGGACATTTCCTGAAGCGTTAGCAATTTACAAACCTTGACAGTGTCCCTTTAATGAAGATGGAACAGATTTGTAACCTGTTACATGCACCTCATCCACCATCCCAACTCCCACAACCAATAAGCTAACAAAACTGTAAACTGTTTTTAACAATGAAATCATAAAAGTCTGTATTCAGCAATAATGAGCAAAACTATGAAAGAAGGTAGCTGTACTATATACTGATTTTTCTATTAGATATGTACTTTCCTATGTATTTAATACATTTTTCTATATGCTTATTAATCTGTCCCACACTGGCTAATGATTGCAAGACTGATAATGTGATTGAGGATGGAATTTGCAAACCATCAGAGGAATCATTTGGATGCTTCTGGGCATCATCTAAGTAAAGAAAAACAATCTTCTTTATTTTTTTTTCTTTTCACTCCTGTGACTGAAGTCCAACTTTTAATTTAGAAAACTTCCCAACACACAACCTGAGAGCAGTATCCTTAAAAATCTCTTGAGGTGATGTTTTTTAGGTAGCATAGTCTAAGATCGTGGAAGAGCAGTCCAGATTATTATATTTAGAGCTTTTTCTTCAGTGTCTGATGTCCACATTTTACTGATTTTCATACCAATAAAAACATGCTAGATTTGCCAAAAGTTTGAAACAATGTAGAGTTAGGCTAACACTCCAGGTAATCTAATCTGTCAGCAGGACTGCTCAGCTCTTGATTGAATATGCTAACATAATAAAAGGAAGACCACCTTCTCTCTTCTCAGGAAGAGTAAGATTTTATAATGTACAAGGGGAGATGAAACATCTTGCCACTTCACCCACCTTCAATAATAGAGTGATGTCCTCGTCCATACACAGCCAAATGTGAAAAATAAATATATACCAATAAGAGCTGGCCTGAACTAAAATACCAAGGTTTTGTAATCCATCTTTACCAAATGATGGTCTTAAACACCTAAAGAAATGCAGGTCACTGGTCAGATACCATCTGGGAGACCAAGAACTAAGTGACCAAGGAATTGCTGTCCCTTATTCCCCCCACCCCACACCCCAGGTGTGTGCTTCAAATCTCCACTTTCGCTCTTGGCAGGGATGTGGTCATTGTTGCTTTGGAAAAATTGACTACATCGGTGATCACTGATCAGCACTCGGATGTCCATTTAAAAATAGGAAACAAAACAACTTGATGTGTATGTAGCCCATGCCCCACTGGTTTGAGTTGCCACCAGGAATTATCTTTCTGCCCAAGTAAAAGCCCCTCATTACAGTTCTCTTGGGAAATTTCAGCTCTACAGGGCACACTAGCTTTTCTGTCACATAGCAAGTGCATGGACATAAAAGCAATAAGGTGCCAATCACCTTTTAGGACAAATGCAAATTGTTAGTAGCTATCGACTGAACAGAGCATTTGGCAGGCACCTCGGTCCCATGATGAAACTTCTCAGGTACTAGAAGCCAGATACTAAAAGCCACATTAAGCCAGGTCTTCACCTCACTCATTAATACAAATAATTCTTACTCTTTTCTTTTTTAATTATTATTATGGAACAGGGTTGCAGAGCAGAACACAACATCTCATACTGGATCCTGTTTTGCATTAAATCTGGATTGATTTAAAAAAAAATGTTTGAAGTAGTTTTATTTCCTTCCCTGGACTTAAGCCAAACTGCCAGCTTCACATGGATTTGTGTGCGTGTCCTTAGCCCCACTCAGTTCTGATCTGGGTTGGTGATCGTTTCCTCTTACATTGACAGAAGTTTCTTTTCTGAAATGTTTCAGGCAGTTGCCAATCTTCTCCCGAATGGTAACGATATTTATGTTGCACTTGGTAGCTTGCTTGGAGATTTTACTGGCTGAGAAATAGCCCATCTTCAAAATACCACTTTTAGACACCGCTGATAAGTCCAAACAAGTATTTGCTGCTGTATTTAAATAGGAGTTACTCTTCTGCACTGTTAGTTATCAAGAGAGAGGTAAGGCTGGAAGGCACCTCAAGCGATCACGCAGTCTGGCCAGAGATTGAAGCCGTGACCTCCATGTTAGCGCCACACTCTGACCAACTGAGCTGAACAGCTATGTGCTGGATTTAAAAATCTTTTAAAATAACAGCGGTGGCCCTCTACCCAAGTTGTTGCCTTAAAACAAACAAAAGCAAGTGGTAATCTAGAGTGCCTCTTTCCCTCTGAATTAATTTTTAGAGGTTTCTCCTATACTAGTATTTATTTAAATAAACTAAAACAACCAGAATATGCTATTTTTGGAGCTTTTAGTAATATTTAATACTAAGATTCCCTATTAAGTGTATAAATACCAAAATGGCATCCTTTTTTATTCAGGCCACATTAGGGATACTAAAAATATAAGGCTCAACCAAGAGCTCATTCCAAATACAATTTCACTGTCTTGCAGGTGCACGTGTTTTATTTTTCTTACAGAAAAATGCCATACATAATTCTGGGGCTAAGTTTATCAGGCATGACGATTGCAGGTGCAAGTGTGTGGTTAATTTGCCTACTTGGACACTGTCATTTGTGCAGTTAACTTATTTATAGTTGTGCACATCTTTCCAGTTGACCATTTGTACGTGGAGTAGGCTTGCATCCAGTTAACGTACTCGTATACTGAAACAGGGTGTGCCATTGACTAGATACTCTGCATGTCTCTAAAGTACATGAAAATGCAGACCTTCATGTTTGGAAAAAATGGCATGAACTAAATGATTTTCATAGTTCCCTGGTTATTTTGGAGAACAGTACTATGTAATCCAAGGAAACCAAAGTGCTGGGAACAACCACCTACGTTGTCAGAATTATTGGATTTAGGCTGACAGAAAACTCGATATTCTGCTTTAAACCAAACATGTTTATTTGTGCTGTGCAAACTTTGAGATACAGGTGACCATACAACACGTTAAAAGTAAAGGGTATGGGTGCTCCTTTTGTTAATGGCCTATTTGTTAAATATTCAAAGCCGTGTATTTAAGTAATCGAGAAAATTTCTCATCTTGGGTAAATTGATGAACAGCCAGAGTCAATCCACTAACTCCACTCGTAATGTATCCAAGAGCACCAACAACAGGATTCAGCCCTAAAACTATTTACAATGTGTGTTTTTCCAGACTTTGCAATTTAAATCCTCAATAGGGAGTAAATTAATCCACTAGTCTGGGAACATACTGAAGAGCACCCCCTAACATATGAATGTTGTCCACGCGACCTAGGTCTGATTTCTGCACTATTTTGCACAATCTACTGCCAGCTACATAGAACAGAACTAAAACATTAGGAAGGACCAGCATTTTATATAGCGCGTAATGCACCAAATGCACATCGGGGCGAGCTGTTAGCACTCCAGCTAGGGCCAGTTTTGTGGGGTAGCTCAAGCCCCAGAAAGGCAGTACAGCATCCTCATCTACATTTGGGGCGAGTCCCTTGAACTCTGCGATCCCTCTTTCTGTTGAACCTTTTCACATAACTGCTGCTGCTCCCGAGTAGTCCATCTCCTGGCCGCAGGCGCCCTCTCAGGAACTGCTGCAAGGTTGCAGGTAGCTGCCGCCTCTTGTGGTAGATCTGACCCATCACAATGTATCTGCTTCCTGCAAAATAACAAACCGTTCACTTCTTTGGGGTCACAAATTTACCGAGAAGAGCATTTCCCCTAAAGTGGAACCAGGCTTGCCATATGCTTGGGCAGGGCTCAGAGCAACGGTGTCCTGACTCCTGGTGGTTGCTGGCCTACAAGACTACAGCTGTATTGAAAAGGAAAGCCAGGGGGAAATCCTACTATCGTTTGGATGATTGCACCTATTCAAAATTTCCTTTTCAAATAAATTGATGTATAATCCCTCCCTAACTGCAAAGTTCAACCAATCGCTATTGCAGGATATGGGTCAAAACTGGAATCAGTTGTGCAAACTTTCTCTTTCTTCCCTTTGCGTAAAATAAGGGTCAGGCCTGGTTGCCTGTGAAGCCTCCACTCAGCAAATATTCTAGGGGATGTTTTCAGAGGGGCCTGAATGTCTTTGTTGCCCGTTCCCTGAGCCTGCGTTGCAGATACAGAGGAACCAGAAAAGAAAATAGGAAATACTTTACGTGTGTCCTTAAACTAAAATCTTCTGTCCGAGATGTCTTCTGCCCCTTAGATTTGCTGCTTTTGGCCTGGGTAAACTAAAATCCCAAACCCCCCAAAGGAGAGCTGGTCTGGATGTAGCGGGAGTTCTTTACCAAGTTTCAAGTCTGGACAGGGTTTACTGCAGTGCGAGGTGTCCACCACGAGAATGTGAACTCGGAAGAAGAAGCCGTCAGGGGTGATATAGAGGCGACTCATCTTGTATAATCCATCGCTGTTTACCAGCAGGGTAACCAGGCGGACTCCACTCCCCAGTCTTTCCACATCATAAACTATTCCGTTTACCGCTGTACGAAGGACAGAGAGAGGAACGGGAATCAAGCAGTACACTTGCAAGCGGCAACAGTCTTTACCTGCTTCACAGGAGGAAGGCACGTCGAAGTCTATACAATACACCTAAGGTAAGCCCTACACATTAATTGTTTTATAATAATAAGGGTTGGGAGAGGGGGGCAGTAACACGGGGGATATCTCACCTGAGAGAAGACTATTAGACCGAGTTGTGGTGGCAGAGCTCTACTTTGAGAGGTTTCTTACTCCATGTCCTTATGCTCCTAAGCCAGCTGCACAAAGCTGCACTACGTCGTTCCTGAGCAAGAGTGACATGGCCGGTGCTGAGTTAAACAAGGGCTGGAAACCCCCCATGGGCCCTCTAGACAGGGAAAAGGCCCATGGAGCGGTACGGTGAGAAACCTTCTGCACCAGCTACTGCCTTGAGGCTTGAGAACGACTCTTTGATGCAGCTATCTGACCCTTCATCTAGAGATGCAAATTGATGGAGGAAACACTCAGGCTGTGATCTCTGCCGTGGAACCTCGGCCACGCTGTGGCTTGGATTAATGTTTATTCAGGCCAGGTTAGGAGGGAGATGGCATTTTTTTCCCCCCATTTTGTTTAAGACACGTACGAGATTTGCTAATAGTTGAATGGATGCAATTCAGCCCCAGGCAGAAAGTCCCAGCAAAATGCAGGTCAGCTGCATCTGTCCTGAATTTTGCTCTAAAATGTGAGTAGGAGGAAATGGAGGAAATGTACATGTGTAGATAATGCTTCCTAATTTCCACACTCAGAGAACAGATGCCTCGTAGCATTCCTATGTTCTGGGAAAAGAAACACCTGTTACTTTTACTGGTCATGTATTTTGCTGATCCATTCTCAAATACTGGGTGTACCCCAGTAAAACGTACCCCCATGTGAGCTGTCAGGAACACAGGGACGTATTGATCAGCAGTGCCGGTTATGCTTCTTGCTTTCTAATGAAGCAATAATGTGTGGTGTGTATTACTAGAGGTACTCTGCACGTCCACATCTAACATCCAGGCACCCAACAAAGCAATGCACGTGTGTGCATTTTTAGATGCCCTGAATCAAGAGAAAAGGCTAGTATCTACTTTGGTAATGAAGGGCTGGTCTATTTAAAACCTCTTGCATTCAAACCACTGGGGCAATAATCTCAAGAATTACATTTCTTTCCCCCTGCTTCCTGAAAGTGTGTGATGCCATGTCCTGAGCACCTAATGAAGCACAACCTCCACAGGCACCGAAGTTAAAGGGAGTCCTATATGCAGAGAGACTGTGTAAGCCTCATCTTTGACATGATCTTGGGACACTTTATGGCAAAACTCATTACAGAGGAGTCGCCATAAAGGCAATCAAATAACACTGCTCAGAGTTAATGCTGGAGCCATCTCAGCATCTGTCCTTATGATTCTCAGTTTTCTCGGTAACCACAGTTGGAAACTTCTCCCCCTCCTGCTGCAGTGGTGGGCTGTGGTTAGAGACTTGGAGGACTTTTGGTGGAAAAGAGCATGAGAGAGCTTGTTTGTACTGGGTATTTCCACAAGCACCTGTCATTAGTACTTTTAATAATACATTTAATAAACTCCAGAAGGCTTTTAAAAGCACAGTGATGTCTGTCGGTGCCATAGGAGCAAGGACGCTAGGAAGGAAATGCTCTTACCAAATTCGCTGGCACAATAGGCCTCTGCTTCATCCAGCTCCTTCCTGCACCCCGACAGACACGCCTTCTCCTTATCAGCATCTGAAACAAGAACGCGAGATGCACACTGGCGCGCCCTGTCCCTTGGAGCACTTGCAGCGTCCCCTCCGATGGGGCCCTGCCTTACCTTTCTGGAGCACGTTGAAGTGGTACAGCAGGCTGGCCGACTGGCGGTTGGTGACCCAAGAGGGGTGGTCGATCTTTCTCGTTAGGTCGCTCTGTTTGTAGGGGTTGATCTTCCCGGGTCGGTTGGAGTGATGCAGGGTGTTAGGATTGTCTGTCCCTGTGTCTTGGAGAGGGTGCGTCTCAGTGATGGCTCTGTCCTTCCGATGGGACGGTGCCGCATGGTAGAAGCGTGCCGACGCGCTGTTACCAGGCCCGGCCTGGAGCCTGTCGCTGTGCATTCGGTTTGCCTGGCTGAAGTCGAAGGAGGCGGGAGAGAGCCCCTCAAGGTGAATCTCGGGAGCCAGGGTCCTGCCATGTCGGCTGGACTCTTTTCTCAGCCCTGTATTGTTTTCTACTGAGAATTTGGCCCTTTTCTTTTTCTCCGAGGTGGCCAAGAGGATGTCAGCAACCTTTGGCCGCTGGCAGTCGCCTGGAGACAGCGGCCGATGCTCCGTGTGATTCTCTCGGGCGATGCTGCTGCCTCTGGACAGGAGCGTCACTTGGCTGGCCGTGGCACCCGCTGCCCTGTATGCATCTTTGCTGAGCCCCTGAATGGCTTTTCCACCATAGGGCATGGATCCTGCATGCAAATATAGAAGAGCAGCAGCACAAGAAAGACGTTTTGTTACAAGCTCTTTGGGGCAGAGACCTTTTGACTATAGGTTTGGCTAGCACCTGGCACAATGGCAGCCTCAGCCCTAACTCGGGCCTCATTATCCCTACCTGCAGGAGAGGTGATTTGGTACGAGGAACAAAGCAGAGGCCTCCCATTTCACTGGCCTCACGTACAGAAGGAGCGGGTTGTGATTCTGGGGGGGGGGGGCCGTTCTGGTTTAGCTTCTGACTTCCCAAAGGCAGCAATGCTGGAGAGAGCTGTGATCCAACCCAGCAAGGGATCTTTCCAAAACAGCTGAGCCAGAACCACGGGAGAGGAGGGAGGAAAACTTCCCAGCACCTTTGTGAGGCACAAGCCTTGTCCGTGGGCGCAAGGAAGGCCTAGCCGCCCATCAGTGAAACGCTGGCAATCTGCATGTGACCATTGTTGTTACACATTACAAACAACGGAAAGGGCCCTTGATCTCCAGGGAACAGCCGGGGAGCAAGGTTCATGCTCCTGCTTGGCCTGATTGTTCCCAAGTCCACAACAACAGAAATATTTGATTTTTTTTTCCCATCCCACGGATGCCTTATTGACAACGTCCTCTGTACTTCATAGTGCCTGTAGGCTTTGAACGCTGCTGGAGAGATCTTTAGCTAGGGTTTTGGATCTCAGATTTGTGCACCATGGAGCTGCCTGGGAGCTCAAAAAGCCAGAGTCTAGGAGGCAAGGCCTTGCTGCTATGAAATGGGCCCTTGCCATCTCATCTGTTGGCAGTAAGGTTGAGGGGACAGGAGCCAAGAGAGAGACCTGCTCTTTGCAGGTCTATGAAATGATTGATTATTACTCTGAAATGATCCTCTTAATAGTCTGCTGTGTTTTAGTTCAGCTAGGATGAGAGCAGAGCCCGGGCCAGCTGGGCCGCTCTCCAGACCTCGTGCCGCATCTTCCCCTTTTGAATCTCACAAAGCAAATTCCTTTTCCATTTAGATGGCGGGGAAAGGGGGTTCCCCTGCAGTTTCGTTTGCCTTAGCGGTTGTGATGGGTCTTCTTCCTATTCAAACCTTCCCTGAACTGGATTTCGTCTGCCAGCGGAGGGCGAGTATCTACAAACAGTTCAGCCACACACATGCTGCCCGGGTGTTCACTGTTTGTGATTAACAGTGTGTAGGAGGCTGATCCTGACTTGTTATGTGAAAAGAGAGATTTGACATACACAGATGAATAAAGGCCTGGTTTATCTCCAGTTCCTGGCGCTCAAGTGTTGACCTCCCCATTACTTTCTCTGTGCTCTCACCAGCTGTTGTCATGGGAAAAATTTCCTGATATTTGGCCTGAACGCATCTGAAGTCAACAAATATCCACGAAGGACGGGGCGGAGGGAAAGTCCAAGCTCAAGGAAGCAACAGGCCAGGGTGCAATCGAGCGGCCTGGCCGGCAGCCAGCGAGCCTGACCGCGGGGCTTCGAACACATCTGCCATCTGCGAGGTTCGCCCCGGGGCTTGTTTTTACATGGTGACAAAACTCTCCCGTTTGCTTTGACCAGGTTCTCCGATCCCCTCTGCACTGGTGTCCCCACTCCCTCAGCCGATCCCATGAGACTGGAGAAGCAGGACTTCTCCAGACCTATCAGTCCAGTGGGGAGAGATGTCCCTTTTCCCTCAGTGCCCGGGGGCAGATGTGCTCACGCAGCTATTTGGTCCCAGGTAGGAGCTCCAAGCACCTTGAAATACCCCACAGAAGTGAAGCCTACAGCAGATGGAAGGGAGGTGAAAGCTGTGCGCAGAAAGCCACACGCACTAGTCACTACACAGCTCCTGACCTGGCTACCTCGGGCTTCCCAGGGCAAGCGGGACGTCTGCCTCTTGCAGGTGCTCTCGGTCCTACCGGGCACTCGCCTGCCTCTGACAGCAAGCATCTCCGCTTGCTTCCCTGTCTAATGATCGCACCAGACTTGTTCCGTTCCCGGGCTTGGATGCGATCCCCGCTGCAGCTTGCTGAAAGGCTGCAGCTGGAGAGGGCTGCCAGGGCAAGGATCTGGAATAATGTGTCCAGCCTTTGTGGGAAAGATCTAGCTTCTGCTCTCGCTTCCCCGCTGCAAACAACAAATCTGCCCGTTCCTGCCTCTGAATGGTCATGAACTTACCTGTCACAGAGCTGGAAGATGATCCCATGACAAAGCAGAGGAGCAAAAATGCCTTGGCTGTCATTCTGAAGGAAACTTTTTCCAGACTCAGAATGAACTGGAGTCTTTTATGCCCTTCCCCCTGGTTCATGCTAATGAGAGGCAGCCTTAGGGGAAACAGGAATCACTCACTGGACAGACCACTGGAGCAAGACCAAGCTGCTGCAGCCCCAGCTAGCCTCCCTCTGCCACCGCCTAGGAGGAGCGTGTGCTGAGCCCCCCATGAGGGCCAAGCTCACCTGAACATCCAAGGGGTGCGTCCACGCTGCCGAACAAGCGCGGCATCCCCAAACTCTCGCTCTGGATACAGGTTTCTAGCCTTTAGCCTTGTTTTCTGGCGGGAGAAGAGAGGGCAGAACAAATAAAGCCATTCTTGGGAGCAGTACAAGGACCGGCACAGAAATGCAGCATGCAGAAGGCAGGGCGTGCCAGGGCACTGGGACAGGGCACGAGTACATGGTGGCTATCGTGGGTGCCCAGTTTTCAAGCCTGGCTAGCGTTGTTCTTGTGATGCCTCCAAACCTTTACAAGGAGACTCTTTGCAATGTTGTTTTTCATCCTGAGAAATATAGTCATAGTTTCTTCTCAAGAGAAGGGTCTGCCACTCTCTCGGGTAGTTTCAATTTATTTTTCAACCCAGGCTCAGGAATATGAATACACATGCAAACCCCAATGACTTTGGCTGGGAGGGTATAACTCCACTCACTGAGATGAATTTAACCCCGTAGGCTTATTTTTATATCGGGTTGGCTCTTTTTTCATGCCGCTGTTATCAGAAAATCTGCTTGGTGAGGTTGCTTCCTCCGACTACCTGATGGCAGATGGCAGGAGGGTGAATCAGTTAATTGATGCCCGCACGGTGCGCTGAACGCAAAGCGTTGTAAAATGCTAGGTGTGATGGGGAAGATCCGTTTCGGGCTAAGTGGCTTAGTGAGGATGATCTCCGTTCCAACGAATAAATGAATGTGGTCCCTCCGGGGCTCTGTAGCGAGGCACTGCTCGAGCCCCAGCACGTGGGAGGGTGCTGCGGACTTAGGGCTGGCTCTTGCCCTCAGTGACGGATCTTAAAATAAAACAAAGTTTTCAGACATCTCTTTGTGGCTCGTTGCTATGGCCAGCATGGAAATGTTCTTCCTTCTAAATGAGTTGTATATCATGGATAGTTCTCATGTTTGAATGGTTGTATCTGTGAAATTAAGGATTTCAACAGAATCTCCCTGGATGCAAAGCCTTTTTTTTTTTAAAGCAGCTGAGCATGTTTTTTTGGGGGGGGCGGGTTGTTATTACCAACATATTTAAGTGGTTTAAACTTCTCTAATAGTCAATAAATCAGCTGTTTTAGAGTTCAAAAGCGCTGGTCCTCCTGAGAAGAAAGCACAGGCCAGGTTGCACAGACGACTGGAGGGAGGGGAGGGTGCTGTGAATTATAACGGAAAGTTTCTTTTCTGTATGTGACTTATATCCAAGTCTCAGCAGGTTGTGTGTGGGGTCCTTAAAGAAAACTGTATACAGTCATAACCTCTGGCTGTGTAATGCAGCCTATGCTCCTACGTAGCCGTGTCTGCACTGGGATGTTTGCCCGCAATTTCACTCTCTTGGGGGTATCCGTCTTAATGGTGCAGGAAGGGCGGTACCTTTGTGCTGAGCAACAGGCCTACAAAAAGATGCGTTTATCCTGGGATAACCATTTTTATACTGGGACAAAGTCCAAGCATTCGCATGCCCGTGTCTGTTGTCCTGGCATAATTCCTGTTAAAAAAACACCTCAACCATTATCTTCCGTGGCTCAGCGGCAGAAAAGCAGGGGCCGGTCCGGCTGCTCCCTGACCCCCCGTGCGTGTACAAGCGCCTCCCTTTCCGCTGGCGGGTGAACATGGGTGCAGTGCACCTGGGGCCAAATGCAACACCTGCTCCCTGCCCAGCTTGGTGATGAAGATGGCTTTCCCATCTAGTAAAGCCTGACTAGCAGTAGAGAAAGTCCTGGGAGAGGACTGCCAGAAGGCGTTTAAAGGGCCTAAAAGCCTCCCAGGCAGGCAGTGAGTCTCTGGGCCGATCCCTGCTCTGCTTCTGCTTCTGCTCCTGCTCCGACCAGGGCACCAAGCCTCCCTGCACACTGCTGACCATTGTTCAGCCCTCGGCAGCCCCCGGGCCCTTCCCCCGGGGTCAAGGGCCGCCCGAGCGCGATTAAAAGCGTCTGCCGGCGAAGAGGAGGCTGCCGGGCCACCGCAAAAACGTATTTGCGGCACGACCCAGATGGGACTCGAACCCACAATCCCCAGCTCCGGAGGCTGATGCCTTATCCATTAGGCCACTGGGTC